AGGTGCAGAACTATTATTATTATTATTATTATTATTATTATTATTATTATTATTATTATTATTATTATTATTATTATTTTATTATTATTGTTTTAATCAAAAAAACGTGGGTGGCTAGTTTTATTTGGTTCATTGATGTAGGACCTTTATTTGTAAAAATATGATAAAAATGGTAGTAATTCGCCGTTGTCCTCAGGAAATGTTTGGAAGAAATGGTACCGAAAATGAGGAATTCAGTGAGGATGAGGATTGGGGTCCACAAAAAAAGAGGCGGAAAGTGAAGGAGACGGATGCTGCCAGCACTTTAATGGCCCTAGGTGATACTGAGGAGAAAAAATCAGAAGAAGTTTTATCGGAAATGAAAGAGAACGAGTTAAGCAAGATGGCCAAAAAACCAACTTTCAGGCTCCCACATAATGCAGTTGAGGTGACACAATCCCTATACCACTCTCTCTCTCTCTCTCTCTCTCCTTTTTTTTTTTAAATGAATGCCCATATTCTGGTTCTTTGTGTTCTGTTTCAGAAGCTTCGACATGTGTTTGCGGAGAATGAACTTCCTGGACGATCTTTGAGAGTTAGTCTTTCAAAGCAGCTAGGGCTAGAGTTTGAGAAGGTAAAATTACGGTTAATCTGGCAACAAATAGGCTTGAATATATTATATGTATATCGCCCAAATTTCAGACCTTTAAAGCTACCAGTTTTAGATATCATTTTGAGTTTCCCAACTTGATGACTTTTCTGTACAAATAGATGGATTCATCGAATGAACAGCTTACAGAAAAAGAGTTTGCTTTTAGTCGTGCTGGGATCCTTATATCTTCTATTTTTATGCTTTTCTATTTGTAGGTCAATAAATGGTTCAAGAATGCCCGCTACCTAGCTCTAAAAGCAAGAAAGCGAGTCAGTACCTGATCTATATCTCATCTAATGTTGTTTTCGATATTATCCTCTATTAATATTTGTGCCTGGTCTCAACTCATTAAAATGCACTAATGTAGTGTATTTCATGCAATGAAGAAAGAAAATGATGATACGCTTTTCCCACCCATCTCAATTTTATGGAGTAAACTGAACCATTACTAAGACCAGTGATTTTCTGAGTCGTAGTAACAATATAAATCCAAATAACAGACATATGTTGATTTTTTTTTTTTTTTCAATAATAAATACTTGTTACTTATTTTCAAATTGCCTTAATATACAGGGTACCATAAATAGCCCTGATTTGAAACAGACAGAAAAACTACGAGAGGATGCTAGTTCTAGCATTCAAAAGGAGCACGTATCAGAAACTGCAAATGGTGATCATCCTCATCAAACGGCATCCAGGAACGATATGCTATCAGATAGCACCAAGGATTTGACGGAGTTTGTCAGAAGGAGAAAAAACTGCTTGTCTGCCAATGCCTTCAAGATAAACCAGCGAAAGAAACGATTATTAAAAAAAGCAGATAGCAATCAGGTACAATTGGACTAAAGTTCCGTCCAAAGTTTTTGCTAGTATGCTTATTAATTGAGATTTACCAGCAACTAAGGAAAAGTTGAGTCCCTAATAATATCCGTACCGATAACCGAACAGAACCATCCCATACTATATCGAATCGAATTATAACAATATATGTGTCTTGTTCATAGATTTTATGTCAACTTTAGTATTTTTAAAATACTTAATAACATACACTAATAATAATTAAAATTCAGTTAAACTTTATACTTATCAATACTTGACCTGTAATAAATAATTTCTTATATTTGAAAAATTTATTTATATTGCATTTGTTAGTAATTTTCTTAGTTTATTCCATCTTATAATTAATATGGTATGAAAAATTTGAGAAATATTGTTTTAAAAAGAATTATATTTATGCATATATATGTATATTTGGATTTTATATTTCCATCATATGTTGCACAAGTTAAGTCTTCGCTAAATTCTGAGTTTCTATATTTTCTAATGTGAATTTCAAAATAAAACAAATAATCTAGTTAAATAATTATGAATGTTGGAATATTTAGAATAAAATATTGCAAAATTTAAATATAACTAGACAATCATTAAAAAAAAATAGTTTGAAATCTCCATAGCTCCGAACTGAACCGAAAAATAAAAATCTTTTGAACCGAATTGTCCTGATTCTTGGTACGGTTCCGGAGATTGAATTTTTGTAATCTCCAAATTTCTGCACCGTTCCGTAGATTTCTGAATCTCCGAACCGTATAGACCCGTGCTCATCCCCAGTAGACATACCGGTCTTGAACATGAGTTCCGCCATGTAAAGCTAAACCATTGATATGTTATTCAACTCATCTATTTTATTTTTCTTTTTTTCTTTTGGAGTGTGTGGAATAGTTAAGTTGAAGTGAATTCTTCTGAGTACAATAAATACCGGTGCACATGTTGCCTAATACTCACATTATGGTGGCCTTGTTAATATTTTCCTGCCCTCGTTCAACAGACGACCAAGGATGTGGGTGATGATATGAACCTTACACATTTACGAGACAAGGCAAAACAAGTTAAGAAGAAATCGAGTTGCATAAGCAGAGATGGCCCACCAGAAGCCGAGGCTCAGATGGAAAGGCTCTGTGAAATTAAGAGCAGAATCGAGAAGCTGCAACAAGTGGTACTTCAATTTCCCAGCAGGAGGTTTGGTAAATCAAGTGCAAATAAGTTAAACGACCCTCCGGTTATTTTTGTACCAGTAGCAGAGCTAAGGGAGAAAAGGTGACGACTTTTTTTTTTTTTTTTCCCACCTCCATATATGATTTTGTTCTCTCTTTTACTGATCGTGCTTTCGCTTCTCACACATTTGAGAGATGCAAATACTTTTCTGTATGATTAGAGTTTGTGGTGGTTGTAGATAATAAGGTTGGACCCTGTATTGTTATATGAACACAATGACAACATACTAATTGATGAAAGTTTAGAGTTATATTGTTATATGAAGTTACAAAGCTCCCTTTGAATGTGGAGATTCATTCAGTGTTTGGTGCTGTGCTTGACGGATTATTTATACTGGCCATTTAGTTATTTTTGCTTCTGCAAAATTGGAAACTTTTACTGATGCTGGATAATTGTACGGTTCCAAAGCTTTTAAAACTTTTATCATGCTAGCACGGGTTACAAGTAGGGCTGCAAACGAGACGAGCCGAACCAAGCATTGGCCTTATATGATTGAATTTTTTTATCTTAGCTACTCGAGCTCGAGCTCGTCGAGCACGATTTATGAGGCTCGAGCTCGACTCGATAAGAAAATATAATAGCTCGAGTTCGGCTCGAAAATTTTTAAGTGAAATTACCAATGTATCATTAAGCACGTGTGTTATACTATTTAAATATATATAAGGGGTGGTTTAGTAATTTAATATATATGTTGAGCCGCTCGACAATGTACAATATTTATGTTTGTTGACTACAGCCATGTTTTGAATGTTTGCTGAAATATATGCATTTGGATGACATTATTTGCTGAAGTTATCTTCATCCAAGTTGTAGGAGCATGACTTAGGATTATTTTTCAACTTGAATCATCACGATATGACGTGACGATATGACGTGTGTGCTGAGAGTTGCATTTATTTTAAGTTCGTTGTGCGAGCTGAATTTTTATAAGTTTGTGAAATAACTAGTTACCATCGAAATGCATGTTTATGTGGCATAGTTGATCTATGTCATATTACTTGGAGTTAGCTGATCCTTAAATGTCTTAAGTTGATATTATTAAGCAAGCTAAGCTATCAACTAACCTAAGACTTTAAACATAAAGTGTTTTCAAAGCATGCAAGCGAAGCCAAGTGAGCTAGTTTTTCAATATTAAGTATATGTATAAGTATAAGTATAAGATATGGTGAGCCTTGATAAGACACTAAGGCTTGCCCCAATAAATGTAGTTATCGAGGAGTCGAGCCCTCGCAATTTTTCTTCCAAGTCAAGCCTAGTCGAGCATTGCGAAAAGGTGGGGGAAGTTCTACGTTATTTATCCTTCTTAATTATCTATGTTTTGAATGAAGTTAAGTAGTTTGCATAGTACTCGTGTTTATAAAATGTTCCAACATTCGAGCAAGTTGTTTGTTGCAAGTACCAAGGTTCACGGACTATAACTTTAGAGGATGGCTAGGTGCTAGGATTAGAGCGTGTAAGTGCGTGCATGTAACCTTCGTTGGTGCACTCTTCGAACGGTTGTAGTCGATAAGACCGTACGGAGCCTATGTTGAGGGTTGTCTTCCTTCAACCCCATGGGAGGTACCCTCATCAAGCCTAGCTGGTCGTGCCATTTGCGAGAGGCAATGTTCTCCCACCACCATAAAGTCGTATACAGAGTTTGATGAGGGGTGGGAGTGTGAGACAGTGTACTCACGTGCGTGCTATGAGTCTAGTGTTTAGTTGCCTAATAGGGTTGTAGAAGCAAGAAAGTCTTTCGACTTGTGGGCAGCCGCTCGTCGAGAGCTCATGATTATGTTGAGTATACCTAACTATTTCATGCACGATAGTTGGTTAGGATGTTAACTTAGAAGGATTCTTCACTGATTAAGTGGAAATGCTCACCCTTTTTGTTTTCCACACCCAGGTGTTGCGAGCTGACAATGGAGCGATGACGAGGGTGGTCAAATAGTTTAATGAAATCGCTTCCGCAAAGATTATATGTTTTAAATTCAATTATCTTTCAAAGTCTATGGATTGAATTGTTACTTAAGTTATTTCAAGTCAATGTTAAGTTCAAATGTTTCTTGATGAAGTTTATTCTATGCAAGTAGTCTGCGATGTCTATGTGAGGCTATTGTGAAGAGTACGTTTTTAAGTTTTTTAAGGTTATGTAAAGTTTCAACGTAGCAATGCCCTTGAGCTTAGAAATGATTTTTATAAAAAGAAAAAAAATTATTCAAGAAATTTAAGGTATGAAAAGTGGGGCGTTACAGTTTGGTATCAGAGCAGGTTTACGTTTCTGTATACCCGCAAAATGTTTTTAAAAAGTATTTCAAAGAAATTGACCACTTGCCACCGTCGCGCCATGTCAACTCCGAGGTAAGTTATTTTGAGTTAAAGTTATTATGCGCATAATAGAATAGCATGAATTGGGGCTTAAGATTCTATCCATGAGAGAAGTCGAACTCTAGAGATGATCAAACGTAGTGAGCCCTAGAAGCGGATGATTAACTCTGGTACCTTTCAGAAATAGCAAGAGGACATCAGAATGTAGTGACTCCAGCCACCGGCATGGATCAGGCTAAGATGGTGGGGCATTTCCGGAAGAAGGATCCGCCCATTTTCACTGGAAAAGAAGGACCGACACACGTAGATGAGTGATTCATGACGATGGAAGACATCTTCGAGATGTTGGGTTGCATGAACGAACAGAAGATATCGTGCGGTCAATACAAACTGAGGGAGGATGCTAAGAGGTGGTGGACCACCTACTGGAAGATGAAGCCCGCGACTGCTCGTGCGACACTTACTTGGGAGCAACTTAAGGTCATTGTGGTGGAGAAGTACCATCCTCAGCACTACTGCGAACAACTTGAGCGAGAGTTTTGGAACCTGACTCAAGGAAACATGACGGAAGGTATGAGGGTTAGAGACAAGAAGAAGGAAGATTTGGTCAACTTCTATGACTTTATGATCAAACTCGGTCGTATGTGGGAAGAAAGAGAAGTACCGTTGGAAATTAGAGAAGAGTCAACCAGAGAGACCTCGAGTGGTAGTGAGTGGACAGATGAGCAGGGTCTCTTTGCTCTGCCTCAACACAAAGTAGTAACTAGGGTTTGATCAACTTTAGGAATAAGAACTTTTTCCGGGGACGGAAAATTTTTAAGGAGGGTAGAATGTGATGCTCCGAACTCGTGTAGTTCATTTTAAGCATATTAAGTATTTTTCATGATTATTTATGATTTTATTAATGGTAATGTCATTCTTGTTTCCTTTATTGTGAGCTCGACATATTTTGTTATGTAAATGATTAAGTAAGTGTCCTCACTTATTTCATTATATAAGTATTATATATATGGAATTAAGTAGATGTCCTCATCTATTTAATTAAACCCCTCTAATTAAATTAATTAATTAAAACATTAGCAGTAAATTAGAATGAGTATTAATCAAAGATATTTTGAGCAGAAATATTTGGTCCCCTCATTGTTTTTCACGTGAGAATAGAGAGAGATTATTCTAGATATTTTTCATGCATTTTACTTCCTTACCAAGCAAACAAATCCTTTTCCTAACCAATTTAAGAATCCTAAACTAATATCAAATCTCTTAAACCCTAGCATTATATATATAAACCCTCCCTATAATGAGATTATATTTTTCCCTTCGTTCAAGATCAAAAAAAAAAAAAAAGAAGAGAGTCGCATTCGCGCGAGACCTCCCCACGGCCGAGCCATGCCCGCAAGCCGCTCGCCCCTTCCAGCGACGGTGGGCTTCCAAGTGGCAGACGTCTTCTAGCATTCCCGTGTCTGCCCATGTGTCCCAACAGACCCATCTCGTGCGCGTGTGTACGTCCCTGGAGACCCACAGCGTGCCAGTGTCCTCTCAAGACCTGAACCAAGCTAGTGCTTGCACTTTCCACTAACCAGCATCGCCCAAAATAAACCTAGGTCTCCCAGTATGCAACACCTAGTAGATCAGTGTCCAGCAGCGCCCCGCAAGACCTAGGTTCAGCTGACAGCAGCCTTACCCGTGTTGGGTCGAACCATGCAGTGAGCAGTCTGGTCCTGACCCGTGCAGTAGATCAATTTTCCAAGCCTTGGACAAATTGATCCCAGAAAACTCATCGAGCTTAAAAAGTAAGAAGAAGCAAGAAGAGAAGTTCATAAATTAAATTAAGAGATTAATTTAAATAATTTAATTAAGTAATTTAATTAAGCAAACAAATTAACAATCTATATATATATATAAAAAAAGGTTTGGTATTTACCTAAAAAAGTAACTAAAATCCCGCCAAAAAATATAAAACTTACTAATCTTGGTATTTTTTTAGAAGTTTTGAAATATCCTGCCATTGAATCATTAATTTCGAATTTCATTTCATTTTGTGGTAAGTTAACATATTTGATTATGATTTTCAATATAAAAAAAAATATATATATTCCTTGATTTGATGAGCCGCAACATTCCAAATAAATCGCATTTGGGGGAATTCGGATTTTGTTATGATATATTAAATCAATATATGTTGATTTCTCAATAAATTAACATATGAGATGCAAGAGTCAGATTTCTTTTTTTAACATAAGACCAATTAGCATAGATCATATTAGATCATTCATATTTGATATAACAAATTAACATACGACCAATTAATATATTAGACCAATTAACATATTAGATCATTCATATTTGGTATAATAAATTAACCTACGACCAAGAAACATATTAAATTATTCATATTTGGAAGAATCGGTTTTTTTTTTTAAAAAAAAAGCCTCTATTTAACAAAAATGAGATACTAAGAATCATTATAATATTGGAAACATTTTTACATTGAAAATCGTTTGATTTGGTGCCAAAATAAAATAAAAATAAAAATATTGGTTATCAGTTGTCAATTGTTTTTAAAAGGAAAATTTTCATAATTTTGTATAGTAAATCGATTTTTTGTTTTCGTATAAAAAAATTTAAATTTACTACCTAAAAAGTTGTCACACATATAATAGGAAAGTTGTCCAATTAAAAACTGTTCAGTTTGAAAATATATAACAAGTTGTCACACATTCAATTAAAAATTGTTCG